ATATTGATGATGGCCTGAATTTTCTCGGGGTTGGCCTCGATACCCCTTCGGCTCACCATGTAGCCCAAGAATTTTCCGCCTTGTACGCCGAAGGTGCATTGTTTTGGATTCAACCGGAGGTTGAATTTTTGCATGATGGTGAAGATTTCCTGGAGGTCCTCGGCGTGAGTGCCTGCCTTCTTGCTTTTGACGATCATGTCGTCAACATAGGCCTCCATAGTGCGCCCCAAGACGGCTTGAAAGACTCTGGCCACCATTCGGGTGTAGGTGGCGCCTGAATTCTTGAGGCCGAAGGCCATCACAAATAACAGAAGATGCCTTCGGGGGTCATGAAGGCAGTTTTTTCAGCGTCTTCCTCATGCATGTAGATTTGATGATATCCGCGGAACGCGTCGAGGAATGACATAATCTCGCATCCCGCGGTCTCATCCACAAGTTGATCAATGTTCGGCAGAGGGAAGGGGTCCATAGGGCACGCCTTATTCAGATCTGTGTAGTCTACGCACATGCGGAAGGTAGGAGGCTTCTGTGCGAGGACTACGTTTGCCAACCAAGAAGGGTATTTCACCTCCTTAATGTGTTTGATGGAGAGGAGCATAGATATCTCCTTCTTCACGAACTCCCTTCTCTCGGCCGAGAGGGGTCTTCTTCGCTGTTGCACTGGTTTGGCCGAAGGGTCTACCGCTAGGCGGTGGGTGATAACCCTTCGGTCAATCCCTGGCATATCCTCCGGCCCCCATGCAAAAACAATGGAGTAGGCGCGGAGGGCGTCGGTGATGTCAGCCTTTAGGTCTTCGGGGAGCTTGGCTCCAATCTTCAGGACTCTCTCCGGCTTGGCCGGATCGAGTATCAAGTCTTCGGTCTCCTCGGCAGGCTCAGCCCTCGGCCTACCTTCTTCCTCCTCCAAGGCCTTGGTGGTGATGGTGTCTATACGTAACTCTGTTTTACTAACCTTCTTGGTAAGTTGAAGGTAGCAGGCCCTGGAGAGCTTTTGATTCCCCCTCGAATAGCCGATGCCGGTGGGTGTGGGGAATTTGAGGCAGAGGTGTCTCATGGAGATGACGGCTTCTAAGTCCTCGAGGGCAGGCCGGCCGAGGATGATGTTGTGTGCGCAGTCGAGGTTGACGACGACGAATTCCACTTCGAGCTTGGCTCTATGGGACCCGTCGCCGAACTCAACCACGAGGATGATGACGCCTTCGGCGTCTATGCTATCCCCCGTAAATCCGGAGAGGGGGGTGTTGATGTGCCGAAGGGACCCCCTATCGAGTCCCAACTCTTGGAAAGTGCTGAGATACATGACGTTGACAGAACTCCCCGTGTCGACGTAAGTCCGGTGGATGATGGCGTCGTTGATCTCAGTGCGGATGACGAGGGCATCCCTGTGCGGCAGAGAACCCGAGGGGAGGTCCGCATCCGTGAAGAAGATTGGATCCTCCCTCGGCCTTTTAGTTGGGGGCATGTGATTGACTTCCCCAACGTAAAGGGACTGTGCCCACTTCTTCCTTTGGCTTATTGAATCGCCTCCGGTGTTGCCGCCGTTGATCATATGAATATGGCGTTTGTATTGTTGATGGGAGCCTTCTCCCTCGTCATCGAGGCCCCCAATTTCGCGCTTCTTCCCCTGTGGGTTCCCCAAGGGGATGGTGTTGGGGTTTACCCATTTATTTGCCTTCGGCGGAGGCCCTTGATGATGAAGGAGGCTCTGGGGAGGAGGGCCCCTGATAAATTGAGACAAGTGGCCCGCCTGTATCAGCCTCTCAATTGCGTTTTTCAGTTGATGGCAGTCGTCGGTTTTGTGCCCATGGTGACGGTGAAAGCGGCAATATGGCTCATCAGGGCCGATAGCATAGATCTCGAGGGGTGTACGGGAGTCTCGCTCAACGAGCCCCCGTTCTTCTGCATGATCAAGAATGACGCTGACGGGATGCGTCAAGGGAGTGCGTGGGTGCTCAAGGAGGACGGGTTGCGCCCATGCCTTCGGGTTGTTTTTGTAACCGCCCCCGGTTCTGGCTTGGCCACCTCGGGGGCGATCATTATATTGAGCCTCGCAGTGGGCCGGAGGGGGAGGTCCTCCGGGCCGATTCCTGCCCTCATTCTTCTGAGAAGGATCCGTGTTGCGGCGGTCCTTCTCGATCTCCTCCGCTTCGGCATATCGGTCCCCCCGCTGAAGGGCCTTTGTATAATCGCGGGGGGATCAGTGATAAGGCTCCGAGAAAAGTTACCGTTGCGGAGGACGGTGTGGAAGAGGGCCATTAGGGTCCTGTCATCGGCGCCCTCGACCTCGAGGGAGGCCTGCCGCCAGCGTTCCAGGAAATTCCGAAGGGTTTCCTCCTTCTGTTGTCTCACGTTTAGGAGGTGGGAGAAGTGCTTCTTTGAGCGATGCCTCCCAGCAAATTGCGTAAGGAAGCGGTGGGCAAGTTCTTGCCAAGAATCAATGCTGCCTTCGGGCAACCGGTTGAACCACTCATACGCGGGTCCCTCCAAGGTGGAAAGGAACCAACGGCATAAGTATTCATCCGAGGCCCCCATCATCATCATGCTGTTTTGATAGCGGCTATAGTGTTCTTGGGGATCCGTCTTCCCCTCATACGGCTTGATGGGTTGCCCCCGGTATTTATGGGGGATTTTGGCCGCCAACACCCTTGGGGTGAAGGGTGTTCTAGTGCGGAGTTGAATGAGGGGCTCGCCTGAGCCTTCGGCGAGCTTACGCTTCATTTCCTCCACTTGCGCCCGGAGGTCAGCGTACTCTGGATCTGGCCTTGCTGTGGAAGCCGTCGGGAGTGCCTGACGATTCTCCTCGAGTTGACGGAGGAGGGCCTCAATGATTTCGTCCTTGGGATCCTTCGGGGCAACCCCTTGGGAGTTGGCCCGGAAGGATTGCGCCTGTGTGATCTGGTGCCTCGCGTCATCGGCATGGAGGAGGGCTTTGCCTTTGCTTCGGGGGGGGGGGGGGGGAGGCACGCCCTCGGCCCCCGAAGCGGAGGCACCACTCTCCTGTGGCCTGCTGAATTCTTGCTTGCCGAGGCGGTCTTGGACCCCTCGGCGTACGGGAGCTCCCCCAAGCCTCTCAAGTGCAGAGGTCCGGGGTTTCTCCTTCATCATGGGGCGCTTGTCCCTGGATTGAGCCTCCTGGGAGGCGGTATCCTGCGCTACGACCCCCTCGCGGTTGCCAATCCCCGGGGGAGGATTGTTGAACAGAGGGGGGAGTGGTGGCAATTGAATAACATTTCCTCCAGCGTAGGGCTGGAGGGGTGTCTGAGAGGCGAGGGCCCCGGAATTGAGAGCCATGTTTTGAACAAAGGCCGCAAAGGCAGCCTGAAGATCGATGGCCGGGGCCGGAGGGGGAACTTGGTTCTCACTCCGATCCCTCCTTCGATTATCAAGGCCAATGCGGGCATCGGGGGCGTTCTTCTGTAGCTGCTGACGGAGGTCAGCGGTAGCCTGCTCCAATTCGAGGATGATACCACCCTCGGGTACTAAGAGCCTGTTGGAGGCCTCAGCCCCGTTAGTCTCGCCGGGGGCTATGTGGTTCTCCTCAAGGGTTTTGGATTGGGCACGGGTGGTTCTTCCCATTTTTGGTGAGTGTTTTGTGTTTGGTAGAGGGGGAGGGTTTCTTACTTGATAGTTCAGACCTCTCAACGAGAGCACCAAATGATGGATAGTCTACCCGGGGGGTATCTTATCCGAGGGGTTATTGCGGGAACAACTAGAGAGAAGTCAGAGTAAATAGGAGGAGAGAGAGTCGATTTTATTAAATGAACTCAGCGTGTGGAGTTGGGATGTAGATCATGTTTTACAAGGAGAAATGGGCTGCTATTTATAGCAGCAATAAATGCGATGAGAGGACACGTGTCAGTAATCCAACGGTCGAAGGGTCACATCAGCCTAGTGGCACCGGCAGTGGTACGTCAACCGCATTGAATGCGGTTGGCGGATGCGACGTGGCATTAAATGCGGTGGTTGGCTGTCTCTAAAAGGAATCTTCGATGATTGAGCTTGTTCAGCCGAAGGCTCCTTGTTCAGCCGAAGGCTCCTTGTGTAGCCGAGGGCTCCTTGTGTAGCCGAGGGCTTCCCCTGGTGCCGAGGGCATGAGAATGCCGAAGGCTCATGCCCTCGCCCGTTTTCTCCCAGCAGCTTCTTATGCCAGAGGAGGCTATCCTGTGAGTTTTGGAGCCTTCGGCCAAGGAGGCCGAAGGCACCCCAGTGTGCATTCTGGGCTACTTTGAGGCTTGGGCCGTTGTATTTGGGCCTGAGTTGTTTCCTGAGCTCAATGGACTTGTGTAGGAGAAATAGGAGTCTATGGGCCGGGGGTTCCTGGGCCATATACTCCATCACTTATATAAGCTTTAAATTATAAAAAAATGTTCTTGGTCCATTTTTTTACAATATTAAATTGTGATAGTAAATCAATATTCTCAAACCTTATTTTTATCCAACTCCAGGCGAAAATCTAAAATAGGCTCTTACACATTCGTAAAAAGGAAAAAGAAACGCTCATTTACCTCCATCCTTTTACCCCCAATTACTTTCCTTTTTCCATGTGCACAATATACCCCTTGTTTGCCCAACACACTTCTTCCACATTCACGAAGCAGACAAACCACCATTGTCTCTCGAAGGCGCGTTTCAATCAACTGCATCCTTCACCAGTCAACTGCACCATTCTAATTAGTATCTCTATTCTGTCCTTTCCTTAATCTGACTAATTTCTAATAATCTTGATCTTTTACAAACACGACTTAATTTTTTTGTCGTACAGACAAAAAAACTTAACTTACATAAACATGTGTAAAAGTTTTTTTCGTTCTTCAATACCCATAGTAGAAATAGAATTACAAAACTCGGCCCGAGGGGTAGCAAGGGTGGGGGCCGCTGGCCAAAAAAATAAAACCTTTTGGGCCCCTAAATCAGCCTAATTTAAAGTTTATTAAGTCCAATTGAACAAAAGCCCAAAATTAACAAAAGTGTAGTACTTTGACTTCAGGAAGCCAAGTAGACAAAATTGGATCTAACTCATCGACATCTAGTACTACGTATCTGTCTACTTGAACGGCCGAAGTGTCCAACGCCCGGCTAAGTTGCCGACTCACTTCACGGCGTCTCCCGCCGGCCAGCTCCAGGACGCAGCACGTTGTCTCCTTCTCGCCTCACGCCCGTCACCCGGTCGCCTGCACTCCGCCATTTACCGGCCCTTCGGTGGTTCGGCCAATCCGCCCTTCTCAATAGTCACCTTCCGACCTTCCGTAGTCCCGGTATTCCTCCATCATTCTCGTTATCTATATTGATTAGTTCCGGTATTTTCCCAATTGATCCCCTAATTTATGCCAAACTTCTATCCCTTTCATATTTAGACCTAGGTGGTGCATGTCTATTTCGGTTTCTCTATACGGCGGCTTGAGCACAGTTAAAGCTTGAGTCTTGAATTCAAAATAATCTACATGGGTAATCTCTAGAAGATATCATTATTTAAAATTTAATTAATATTCATGCATGGACAATCTCTTTTCAATCAAAGGTTCTAAATGGAGGGTTTACACTGCCACACGTCTATTACTCTGCTTACATATAATGAAAGGTACTAACTGTAGTAATTAACTACTATAGTATCTATAACAATATTAATCTAATTCATATGTAATATACGTTGTATGTAATATATATATATATATATATATATGTAATATGAAATCATGTTAAAGTGTTTTAATGCTTAATACTTCGTAGATTTTTTGTAAATCATAGATATATCTATTCTAAGACATTATTTTATAATTATACATGTTTTATGGAGCTGAGATTAAAAATGAGTTGTTATAGCTCTAATTTGAAGTGTATTCACAGAGTTCAATCTTTACTGTTTGAACTTGTAAACATCTCATTTTGTTACAATTTATAATCACCCATACATACATTTTTACACACCACAGTACCCATATATCTATATAACACTAAATTGAACTATATGTCTCTTGAAATAATAGAATTCAATCTTCACGGTTTGAGCTTGTAACTTCAAATGTTGGTAAAGTTTATAATCGGCAATAACATGTACAGTTTAAGCTGCATTGTATCAGCTTAAAACATAGATTCCACAAAAAGTAACCTGTCAACAATGTGTGATTCTGCATAAATCAATTTAGTGTTTTACCTTTATCACTGATGATATGCACAACTCTTTTTCTCATGTATTGTTCACTCTCTGTAAGTGTCACCATTTGATCTTTCCCCCCTAGCAGATCTGCCAAACGATGGAGTTGCTTAAGATATGCAAAATAAGCTACTTTCAATGAGTAGAAGGTATAAATCCCTCAACCATCTAAAGCTTAAACAGTAATTTACACAAAGCTCCAAATTAAACTATTTGAAATATTTATGTTTTTAAGAATTGAACCTATACTATTATATTTAAGAAAACATATCTACGGTTTGAAACATGCATCCACTTCATTTTAATAACCTAAATTCTACTTTTCACAGTTATTTTCCAAAAAAATGTCTATTAGCATTTATTAGCGAAAGTGACTTTCCATTATTTCTTAAATATATCTAGCGTGCAATTTGTGTTTTATATTCATACACATGCATTATTATTTTTACTTTTTATGCAATTATAATTACATAAAAAGTTTCCTTTTTACCCTTGGTTACTCGCTTCTTACAGACCTATACTTATATTATATACTCAAAAAGTGAATCTATATTTCTTCTCTCAAAAGATGCCTGAAAGTGAATCTGTGTTTTTTAATTGAAAGCTAATAGAAACCTATATACCTACATACATCAAACAAAAACTATAGATTTAAACATGCATCCTTTTCATTTTAATAATACTAAATTTTACTTTTCATAGGTAATAGTTGTAATAAATGTCTTTTTTATCCTTTCGAAAAAGACTCATTATCATTCACTTGAGCATAGCGACTTGCCACTTTTTCTTAAACATTTTAAATCCAATCTGTGTTGCTTATACTTGCAAACAATATTATTTCAAGTTGCTTACCCGCTTCATACAGAACTAATTCTGATATTACAAATACATACCTATTTTTAAGCATACAAATCTTGGATACAATCATGCCTTCTCATAACACTTACTTGATAATGACACATTGACAGTTCTCCATCTTGAAGTAGCTTAAAGTAGCTTGATGAAGGTTCCGTGTGCTCTTTGCTCGTTATATATACTACTCCGTATATACATATATATGGTCTTATACTCTTATCCTGCACCAAGACAATAAATACCGAGTATGTGGTATTGGTAATTTCAATAGTCATTTTGAAGATCACTCCAATTTATTACGGAGTATTATTCTCTTTTGTAAAAATTGTGTTTTAGTGGGATTCTATAAGTCACTTCAATTATTATTCTACAAATTGTACTCCGTATATACTATATAGTTGGGAATTTAAAAAGTTACTTCAATTATTGCTCTAGCATTTATTATTCCTCTACTCAATAAAGCTTTTTTAGTATTCTGTGCGGTTGTCTTCTAATACCTTTTAGGAGTGCTAACGTAGAATTGCTTTAAAGATGGTGCACTATCCCGCCCAAAATCCCGCCAAAACTCCCCCACACTTTTCTGTTTTACTATATAATATAGATTTCTGCCTCACCCAGTCACGTACCCCGCCCCAGCCCCGCGCCCCACCCGCTTTGCGGCCTGGTAGTTCTTCTCACTTCTCAGCTTCTCGGAGTTTTGGCTGCCATCTGCAGTTCAGCTCATCGGCTCAACAACCCCAGCGGCCTAGTAGGTTAGTTAAGTGGTATTCTTTATTTTTTATTTTGAATTACGTACATAGCTAATATCTTAAAAATTGCTATCTTGATTTTTCAATGTTCTGTTTGAGTGCTTAATTGTTTTTGTTTTTAAGTGTTTCGCTAATGTGAATTTAACCATGTCAATATGTTTTACGATTGGTGAATCATTTGTCATACTCCGTATTCTAATTTCATTTGTGAAATTGAGAATTAGGATGGTCAATTTCTTAACATATTAATAAAACATACGTAGTACTACGTATGTGATTGAAAATAGTACTCTATATACTGATTATTTTATTAGTTTTTATCAATTTAAGCAGGTATGACTACCAAATGTACTTCAAAAAAGGCAAAAATAATATTGCTTCGTTTTGAAGCCCGCAAGTACACAAAACGGACAAGAGTTAAATAAAAACTTCATTGAAATTCCAAATATTTCAGCCGCTCTAAAAAAATGAAAAATCATTGCATTCGTTTTTTAAACCTACTACAATATAAATTTGATGAATTTTAATCATTTTATTCGAACTATATACTAGTTTAAATTTTGACATAGCGTTTTTTTAGTTTACCTCCGGTCCACCCTGAATGTTGGTTATGGCTCCGCCCCTTAAGATGGTGTTTCCTGTTTCACATTTCAGCACGCCTCCTACACTTCCGTGCAACATAGATGGCATTATTGTATTACTCCCTCCGCCCCCTAATATTGGGACGGAAGAGAATGAGGTAGTTTTTAAGAAAAGTAGAATTATGTGGTTCATACTGACTTAATGAGTTGATAAAGTGAGAATAAAGTAAGAATGAATTAGAGCCACACAAATGTTACCAATATGGTATGAGACAATAATAGGGGACATCCAAAAATGAAAAAATGGGACAATTAAGGGGGACGGAGGGAGTATTATTTTTAAAAGAAAACCAATTATTTACTTGCACACTTAAATCAAATTCCATTGTAGTTACATATGTAAAATTGAAAGCACCAGTTTCGCGAGCCAGCAATATTAATCTTAATAATCTAGATTTTTTGAATTTACAGTTTAGATTAAACAATTAGCAATGAGATGCCAATGCATTATTATTTGCGGTCAACTATGTTCAAGAAAGGTTAGTGGATTACTAATATTAAGCGTCCAGCATGAGACGCTTGAAGAGATTGATTTTGAAGCTATGATTGACGATTTTGCTTCACAATCTTGTATGAAAGATGTTTTTAAATTTTACATTTATGTTTTAGCTTTAATTGTTATTTGTGGTGCTATTTTTATTTATATATGCAACTTATCAGATGAAAGGTATTATTATTATTATTATATCTTTTAACATAGTTTTATCATATTCAATACTATGACAAAGTATGAAATATAAAAAAATTGAGAAAAAAGTCAAAGAGTTTTGCTCTGTCCTGACAAACAGGAAGGCCCTGTCTCAGTCAACAAATTCTGGAAGAGTAATCGGTTCCTGAGCCTATCATGTTAATTCGGAGTATTAATTTACCTATTGTAGTGTTTTGAAAATAATCTGAGTGGTTTCCTTTGATTTAGTTTGTGTTTTTTTATTTATTTGTCCCGACTGCACCACCGTGACATTGTAATTTCTGCTGTAGGTTTTCATTTGCCAATCCTGAAACCATAAAAGCTGCCTTGAAAACCTATTTGGAAGAACGATTTAGAAACATACAATAAAGCTTCTAATGGAAAGCAGCAATGGAAGTACAACTGGAGGCAGAGAGTGGATGGCTGAGGATGCCATTGCTGGAAATGCAGAGGCGGTCCGTGCTCTTCGGGAACTCATTATGTATCCACTCCTGTATTCTCAAGAGTCTCAAAAGATTGGCCTCAAAGTAATTTGGATACAAATGTTTTTGTATAGTTCCCCTCACTAATAATATTGATAGACTTGTTTATTTGTGGGTATCTTTCATTGTCTTCTTATAGTGGCCTCGTGGCTTGTTGCTCTATGGTCCACCTGGTACTGGAAAGGTAGATACACATTTATTCTCTTGGCTATCTATCTCTTAGCTTGATCACCATTTGCATTGTGAGAAAAAGGGATCTATTTCTCAAATATTGTTCCAATAATGTATTACTGGATTTGCAGACAAGTTTGGTTAGAGCAGTTGTTCAAGAATGTGGAGCACATTTGACTGTTATTAGGTACTACATATTGTAATGTTTTATGTGTGTCATGTTTGGTTTTTTAGATCTATACATATAGAGCTATCCCCTAGCAAGCTTTATTTTCTATTTTTAAGCAGATGAGAGACTAAGTACTCATTCCTCCCCAGAATAGAGTCGTGTAATTCGTGTTTAAAATAATGATCCTAGTATTACAATGGTGACTTTTTTCGGGACTAAGGTAGTGTTATGGGCACATTTTAGTGATAGAATCATAGAAATAAAATGTACATTTTGGAGTTAATGAAATGTTTCATTGCTTATCATGATGTTAAAGTGGAGATATTTATGCTAAAACGTTACATAGCTTATGAAGAAACTTGACACACATTAGTTGCTTTGGGAGATATCAAGAAAATATTTGTGGGTCATATGTGAATGCCTTGTCTCTTTTCCCATATGAGAAGCTGTGATAAATATATGGGCATGAATCCCAAATGTCATTAATTTTGTGGTGCATCTGTAGCCCACACAGTGTCCATAGAGCACATACTGGAGAAAGCGAGAGAGTTTTGCGAGAAGCATTTGCAAAAGCATCGTCTCATGCAAACCTTGGGAAGCCATCTGTTATCTTTATAGACGAAATTGATGTACTATGCCCTCGTCGTGATTCTAGGTAATCATTCCAGTTAATACACTTTCCAGGGCCATGAGTTTTAACTTTATCTCAAACTTGTATCACTTAATGCTTTCTTAATGTATTATTGCCCATCGTTTGAAATTGCACAATGAGGTTACACAATAGGTAATGCTAAGAAACCGCCTCAAGCTTGCAAAACGCAATTTCAAACATTGTCATTGCCTGAGTAGTATGGAAATCGGAAATATGGTTTCTAAAAAAATACATGACACAAAATATGGGAAAAACACACTAATTTTAAAAAACATGAGGACATATGTATAAATATTTTTATATATGTATACATGTTTTTTCGTTTATATATATGCACATTATTTCATATAATTTTGTTTGATAACCATTAGTAACTAAAGACTATGTATTCAAGTTTATAAACTATTACCCCCTCTGTCCCGCTAATATTGTCCCATTTTACCTTTTCGGGAAATCCCACTTAAATTGTCCCATACCAAATTTGGTGAAGTTTGTGTGACTCTAAATCATTCTTACTTTATTCTTTTGCTAGGAAGAAATCTTATAAAAATTCACCAGAGTTTTGGAAAGGCACTATTTTCCGTCAATGGATCCCATCAAAAAGAAAAATACTTGGAAATCCAAAATTTCCTAAACGTTATTATTTTGGGAAACAAGCTTTCCAATTTTTCTTAATTATTGAAACACCCCTCAAACGGGAATTTGAAGTTCTGGAGTTTTTGATACGCTTTCCAGTTTGCGGAGCGGGGAGGCATGAGCCGTTGGAAGTTTCCGTGCTTCATAGATTATTGCACTTGCACATAATACTTTCATATTCATATTTCATTCAACATACTTGGTGAGTTTGCTATCGCAGAAGAGAACAAGATGTACGTGTAGCTTCTCAGCTCTTTATGTTGATGGACTCTAATAAGTCCGTTTCAACATCTGGATTACATGTTGTTGTAGTGGCATCAACTAATAGGTGGGTTCTACTGATGTTTCAGGGAAGTAACTTTTTGGTTTCCATTTTTTCTTGTGTTGTATTCAAATAAAGTACAAAGAGGTCATTTTGGTTATTTTTATTTACTTTTAAGTTCCATATATTAGTAAATGCGATTTACTCTTGACGGAGAAACCCTTTTTTCCATCATTCTCTCAAGTAACCTGTAATGGCAATTTGGCAAATCAAACCCCCCGATACTATTCCAATTTAGGATATTTTTTGACATGTGGATTGCAAAAGAAAGCATTATTATTCTATCTTTTATTATTGAAGGTCAATAGTAATTTGGTGGTGTTGCTTTCAAGGGTATCACCTATTTTGTTATTTTACAATCACTATAAATTATTGATATGGAATAAACCCGTACTCATAGAAATCCAACCTTTATATGTTTATATTATTTTAACTACAAAGATGTTGATATGCCATGAACTCATACCCAAAGAAATACAACTTTAATATGTTTTATTCATGGCAGGCAGGGAGGGTGGGATTACTAAAGTTTTTCTCTCTATGGTGAGGGATAAATAGTCGCTTTTTGAATCGAACAAACTGTTGATTTTTACAACCATACTGTAGTGTCTGAGCTAATAATATACACCATTTTTAATTTACAACCATACATCCGTTTTTTATTTTAATAAATCAGTAAGTTTTTTTTGTCACTGTGGTGAAGGATAAACAATCTCTTTTTGAATAAAAAAACTGTTAAGTTTTTCAACCATACTATGATATCTGAATCAAATTACGCCATCTGTAATTGGTATACTGTCTTTTAAATGTTTATTTTTAATACCATATAGATTGTTGGTTGCAAGTCTTTTAAGATGAATGTTTTCTGCGATTAATGTTCAGGGTTGACACACTTGACCCGGCTCTAAGAAGATCTGGGCGTTTTGATGCTGAGATTGAAGTCACAACCCCTAATGAAGATGAACGCTTTCATATCCTCAATGTATGGTGCTCATCATGGAGTATTTATTATTATTTGACGAAATTCACAAGAATAATCCCTACTTTTATGGATTCTACAATAATAATCCCGACCAAGGTAGTCAAAGTCGTGAGGCGCACTCAAGGCGATAGGGTATTCCCAGCGCCTGAGGCGCAAGGCGCAAAAAAGCGCTCGCCTGACTCGGGTGAAGCGCACTACTTAGATAAAATCACATATACTGTTCTATAATTACCAAATATGATGTATGTAACATCATATTGAACCAAATGCATAAAAAAGCTAGGATTCATCAAAATAAAGTCATGCAACAACAACAACAACATCCAAGCCTTAGTCCCAAAAGATATTGGGGTCGGCTAACATGAATCGATACATGATATCACCACCAAAGGGAAGAGTAAGAAAATAAAGATAAAAAGATAAGCTATTATGGAAAAGATAATATAAAAAGAGATGAATATACCCAAAAATGATAAAATAAAAAGCATAAAAATAATGTTTATATATATAAGCAAAAAAGGATAAAAAACAAACAAGAAAAAAAGAAAAAAGACAAAAAAAAAGAAAAAAAAAAGAAAAAAAAAAGGAAAAAAAGAGGGGAAAAGATAATACGATATCACTCATCCACACGAATACCCGCCCTCCACTTTGCTCAAAATAAAGTAATGATTCACAAAAATTAGGATCTTTTTTGTTAGCCAAGTAATTGCGTTTCCAAGCTGGGTCTTTTTCGTAGAGTTTTCACTTTCAGCGCCACCTGCAGCACTTGTTCCACCTTCCATATCCTGGAAAAGTACAAAGCTGGAATTATTTAATAATTAATACACTGGAAAACATCTTTGGAAAACCACAAAATAGAGTACATATATAATATATTTATGGGCCAAACACTCGAATATGGGTGCTCAATAATGGAAAAACAGAAAGCTGGTTGTGTGTTTATCATGTTCTTTTAGTTTTCCATCTGTGTTTGTCATCTTGTGTGTTGTAAAAGGTGGTTATCAACTTTGAAAAACATGTTATACTCAGCCCTTTGTTAACAGCCATGTTTTACTCTAGTTGGGTCAAACAGAGTAATATCTTTAATATTTATAAAACACAAGAGTGACAGAACTGAGTAATGCATTTAAAGTTAAGAACTTAATATACTCTGAAAGATTATAGAGTAATATCTTTACAAAACCACAAAGCAGAGCACATATGAGTATTATATACATACTAATATACTAATACGTAGTATTATTACTTTATTACACATTTACGCTAATATTTAGACACTAGTGTAATATGAGTATTTGGATGAAGAGGACTGCATGAAAAAGAAAACATACCTTGTTTAGTGCTGAGAGGGAGAGCTGAGTTTGCTTGAGATGATGATGAAAGCTTAAAGAACTGGCTGGTGTAGAGCAGCTTCAAGTGAGGAGAGTGAGGATGGCTAGCGATGATTGCAGTAGTGTCTTGCGCAAGTTTTACGTGTTTACTTATATAGACTCTTGGTTTTACGTCGGTTTTACTGTTTTTACCCAAATATTTTCATGGGTTTAGTGTTATTAAAGATATGGGCTAATTGTATTTGAAAGTTTAAAACAAAAAAAGGCTGTCAGCCCTTTTCCAGCTCAGGCGACCCAGGCGTGCGACTTGCAGCGCTTGATGCGCTTCATGCGCCTTACCCAGGTACGTGCGCTTCACCTATTTCCAAGCGCTGGGGGGTATGCTCGCTGCGCCTTGTGCGCTTGAGCGCTGAGGCGAGCGCTTTTGACAACCTTGATCCCGACTAAGAGTGTCCATACAAATAATTGTACTATCAATAGTGTCGACAAGAATAAATTGGAATGAATTCAAACTAATGTCTTTTTAATACTCAGTCCCTACATTTATTTCCCCATTTTCCACTCTCCGTCTCGGTTAACACTTTTATGTTCCAACCTAGGGAGAACCACATATGGCGGGAATGGTGTTGATATCAAACATGTTTAGTTTGAATTATCCCCGAGAAGAAGAGCGGGGAAGAGAAAAGTGGGAGTAAAGGTTGAAAGTATTAAACTAGCATTAAATTTAAATTCACCCCAATTTATTCTTATGAATACCATAGCTAGTTCGGATTATTTTTGTGGACACTTTGAGTAGGGATTATTATTATAGAATCCATAAACGTATGGATTATTCTTATGAACTTCACCTTATTATTTAGGAGGCACCTGCTTTTTATTTTGTCAAAATTCTGAGAAAATATATTAATACAAGAAACATACAAAGGTCAAAGAAAAGATATAACAACACAAAATCTTGTAAAGAAAACAAAAAATGAAGAGGACAGAAGCTATAAATTTCACGAGAATACACATAATATGTCCAGCTTGTGATTAATACTCGACAAAAAGGATCAATGGGTAAAGAGCAAAATATATCTTGTAGGACTTATTGAAACTGGGCTGTCAAGTCTAATAAATCCTCAACAACAATAACAATTTTTTATGTTAAAGTTTTATGGAGATTTTGTTGAGTGATGGTGTATTTTATGTTGACACATTGCAGCTTTACACTAAGAAGCTTCCATTGGACCCCAGTGTTGACCTGCAGTCAATCGCTGCCTCTTGTAATGGCTATGTTGGGGCAGATTTAGAAGCTTTATGCCGCGAAGCTACTATGTCTGCTGTCAGACAATCTTCAGAATTAGATCAAGTAGATTGCTCTTGGAACATAACAGTGGATGACTGGAGGCATGCCAAATCTATTGTTGGTCCTAGTATAACAAGAGGTGTAGTTGTGGAAATTCCAAAGGTTTCTTGGGAGGATATTGGAGGACTACAAGGCATAAAGGTTTGTACCTGTTAGCTTACTCGGACCCTGTTTGTTAAAGTTGATAGGCTTATTCTGTATATTCTCCTTTCAGCGGAATAGTCAGAATAAGTAGCCTTTGACATACGTATTTGGCTGAAATCGATTTGTATGTGCCTTTCCTTTTAGAAAGTTCAGCATATATGGTCTAACAACCCTCACCAAACACTCTCTCGGGCTAAATATCTTTATATATAACTTTTTTATTTGATAAATGGAACAGAAAAAGCTACAGCAAGCTGTAGAGTGGCCGTTAAGGCATTCTGAAGCATTTGCGCGGTTGGGAGTATCACCTCTTCATGGCATCCTTCTTCATGGACCTCCAGGGTGCTCTAAAACCACCCTTGCAAAAGCTGCTGCTCATGCTGCACAGGCTTCCTTTTTTTCGTTGAGGTATGTGATAAGAAACCTTACTTTTTATGTTCTTTATGAGAATTGCAACTTTTTTCATATTATTTTAATGATAATGCACCAGTGGTGCAGAATTGTATTCAATGTATGTCGGTGAAGGTGAAGCTTTGTTGCGCAATACATTTCGAAGAGCTCGACTTGCAGCACCAAGCATTATTTTCTTTGATGAAGCTGATGTCATTGCTGCCAAACGGTAATTTGCGCAGGATAAAAAGTTCCCCTTATGTAAATGTGACTTAATTGAGCTTCAATTTCTAGGAATTAGTTGCTTACTTCCAGTGATGACTAGGAGAAACCAATGTTCTGAGATTTGCTTAGGCAGTAGCCAGGCATTTGAGTGATGCTTAGCTTGCCTAGTGTGCCTAAACGAGCAGCTAACCTATGTAAGAGCACTCTGGCTTCCTAATCTGCTTAGAAATGAATTGCTCAAGAGGCGTCTGCATGTCTAACTAGGCCGATTATTAAAACACTGTGATAAAACACTGCAAATGTGTACACCAGGATAAATATTTCTTCATCCCAAAAAAGTTTCTTTCGAACTCTTTTTGTCTCCCAAAAAGAGTAACTTAGACCAAACAAAGAAAATCGTTCATGTAATTTTTAAAAAATAATGTTACATAAAGTTACATATGGTAATATGTTAAATTTAGTTTAAATAAAAAATAAATAGACAACTATAAATATTATTCACGATTTATGAGTACCTAAGTAAAATTAAAAAGTTCTGCATTAACCTTCAGGGGTTGTTCATGTTTCAACTAGTTTGAATCCAGGAACAAAATGTTCTCTGGGGTTACATGTTTGGATCCTCTTGGAGGTCACTGCCAAAAGGTCCGCGGTACCCACCCTGTAAATAAAAGTAATGCATTGTTCGAACATGACTTGTTTATTTATTTATTTAGTTAGTTATTTAGCATGCATATGCAAATTTTAGGGCTTGTTTACTAACAGAGATATTTTCCAGTTTTCTACTTCTGTTTTCTGTTCTCCAATTTTCTGTTTTCATGTTCCAGTTTTTCTATCTCCAATTTTCTGTTTTCATTTTTTACTTACTCATTTTCAAATCCGAAAACATGTTCATCAAATTCTGATCATCCAGAAGACCGAGAGTGTGGTCTCATTCCGAAATCAAACCTAGTACAACCCAAGTAGGGTACCAGGTCCCATATAGGATAGTCGGGACCAAAACCGATCGGTCTCGGTCGATCTCAACGGTTAGTGTGACAAATTCTTTTCTCATTTCCCTATTGGTTGAAACTCAATGCTCTATTCAAACTCTTCACTTAAAAAATGAATTTTAAAAAAACCGAGACTGCCGGGTCATTGACCGGCCTGGACAGGGACCGTCGGGTCATTGATCTGACCGGAAAAGGATCGTTGGGTCATTGATCGGACTGGACAGGGACCATCGGGGCGTGGACCGGGCCGAAATGCGGCCGCAGGTAGGGCTGAGCAAAACCCGATCCGACCCGAAAAACCCGATATTTTTTTCGGATATTATCCGAACCGAAGTGGATATCCGACCCGAAAAACCCGAAACTGAAAATCCGATTAGTATTGGGCCTAGATCGGGTGGCGGGTAGGGTTTGCGAAATCCCAACCCGACCCGCCCGAATATCCGAAATATATGTTAGTGTGTACTTTGAATATTTAAATTAATACTTGTGTTCAATTATTTGTGTTATTATTTGTGCAATTTGTATTAAATTATTTGTGTAAATTGAATGTGTAGTGAACTAGTGTGCAGAATTTTTGTTAAAGTGGCATTCCAACACTTTAACTATCCAATTATAATGTGTTTTGATATAACCAAAATATCTGAAATATATTAAATTATGTAGTGTGTACTTTGAATATGTTAAATTAATACTTGTGTTCAATTATTTGTGTAATTATTTGTGCAATTTGTGTTAAATTATTTGTGTAATTTGGAAGTTTAGTGCACTAGTGTGTACAATTTTTGTCAAAGTGACATTTAAACACTTTAATTATCCAATTATATTTTTTTTAATATAAACGAAATATCCGAAACCCGACCCGATATCCGAAAATATCCGACTTAAAAATATCCGAAATACCCGATTTGAAATATCAAAGGGTCGGGCCTAGTATTTAAATTTAAAAAACCCGAACGGGTTTAGGGTTCGCAAACCCGACCCGCCCGAACCCGACCCGTGCACACCCCTAGCCGCAGGGGTGTGGACCGCACCCGACAAGGACCATCGGGTCGTGGACTGGACCGAACAGAGACCGTCGGGTCGTCGCCCGGATTGGACCGGGATCGTCGGGTCTTCGACTGGATCGGACCGGGATCGTCGGGTCTTTGACCGGATCGGACTGGGATCGTCGGGTCTTCGACCGGATCGGACCAGGATAGTCGGTTCTTCGACTGGATGACTGGATCGGACTGGGATCGTCAGGTCTTTGACCGGATCGGACCGGGATCGTCGGGGCTTCGACCGGACCAGACCGGGATCGTCGGGCCTTCGACCAGATCGGACCGGGATCGTCGGGTCTTCGACTGGATCGGACCGGGATTGTCGGGTCTTCGACCGGATTGGACCGGGAATCCGGGATCGTCGGGTCTTCGACCGGATCAGACCGGGATTGTCGGGTCTTCGACCGGATCAGACCGGGATCGTCGGGTCTTCGACCAGACCAGACCGGGATTGCTCGGCCGTCGACCAGACCGGACCGGGATTGCTTGGCCGTCGACCGGACCGGACCGGGATTGCTCGGCCGTCGACCGGACCGGACAGGGATCGTCGGGTCAATAACCGAACCGGACCAGACAGGGACCGTCGGGTCAATAACCGAACCGGACCGCCGGGTCGTTTACCGGACCAAATAGGGACCGTAGGGTCGTTGACCGGAATGGAACCGATACCGGAGCAGGACCGGATCCACCACTAGGCCTAAATATGCAAATTCATTGCAGCGGCACTGTAGCATTTGCGTTTTTCAAATTTGGAAAACTAGTAAAAATCACTTCTCCAATTCATTAAGGAAAAAGAGAAACATATCTCATTTTTTCCGTTTTGGTAAATGCATTTTTCTGTTTTCCTTTCTCCAGTTTCCAGCAATTTTCTTTGGTAAACACGTTTTCTGTTTTCCAGTTTTCTAGTTTTCTGGAAAATTGGAAAATATCTTTGTTAGTAAACATGCCCTTAATATTCTTCTCTACTTCCTAGTATAAATTATTATCAGACTGGAAATGACATGCGTTATTAAATTTTTATCCTATATTTGTTTATTTTTCTATCTACTCTTGTAGTGGTGGAAGTTCTAGCAGAAGCAGCCTTGTTGGGGAGAGACTTCTGTCTACTCTTTTGACTGAAATGGATGGCCTGGAGCAAATGAAGGTGATCAGAAATCCCTTTATTGTTCTTTATTTGCCAAAGTAATGCAACCTAAACACACCTTCCTTTCAATCCATCAGGGGATTCTTGTTTTAGCTGCAACCAATCGCCCTCAGGCAATTGATGCTGCACTTATGCGACCTGGGCGCTTCGATCTGGTATCAGTTATTTCATAGTTTACTTGCGCTTTGATCTGGTATCAGTTATTTCATAGTTTACTTGCACTCTTGAGCACATATATTCTGTGGGAAAATAATACCAAGTACTCAATATTAAGGAAAGTTGCACATTAGTTTAGATACAATGTATCCTTGGTTAAAGTTGCATTCGCACCCATAAATATTAGGTTATATACGGGCATTCTCAGCATTCAGTATTGCTGTGAATGCTGCTCATAAACCTTGATTCTAATCCACAAGTTTATCTCATTGATAACAATGGAAAGACTAAATGTACAAAGTGCTGTTTTAGGCTGCGGCCACTCTTTTCAGCGTATCATCCTTGTAGGCAATTTTTTTCTAAACATTAATTTATTTGATTCCGCACATTTTGGTGAGCTAGGGTTTCATGTAATTTTCGGCTTGGGTTTGGTGAAGTTCAAGTTGGGTGCTTTTTTTTTACGGAGTCCATTATTCTTTCATATTGCCAATAAAATATGTTCAAAGTATTGCTTCCCCATATTTCAGTAACTTCATCAATATATCAGCCGCAACTTAGTTACTTCAACCAAATCCACCCTTACCAGATGAGCTAAAAATCCAAATAGCATATCCCAGATTAGATGATGTCAAACAATCTAATAGAAGAGCTTTAGTGAACTTTCGCGCAAGAGTTTTAGCTGATTTTTCTTGAATACTTCTAGACATAACTCTCTTGCTTTTATCTTACACAGTAATAACTGCATATATCTTCAGGTTCTCTATGTGCCGCCACCAGATTTAGAAGCTCGATGTGAGATCCTTCGTGTGCATACACGTAACATGAAGTTAGATGCCGATGTTGACATTAGGCAAGTAGCTGAGAATACGGATCTCTACACAGGGGCAGAGTTGGAAGGGCTGTGCAGAGAAGCCGGAATTGTTGCTTTAAGAGAAGATATTTCAGCCACTGTTGTGTGTGATCGACACTTCCAAACCGTCAGGCAGTCACTAAAGCCAGCGCTCACCCAGGGAGAAATTGAATCATATTCCTCCTTTATGAAGAAGGAGAAGGAGAAGAACCCATCTCTCTGTTCTTCTAGTACACTTGAATCCTCCAGCTACAATCAGAGCAGCAAGACAAGTCGGCATCTTTTGATGAGTCCTGCTCTTAGAATCTGTATTTTTAGTGTAGTTTTGTATGTTGCTGCAATTTATGCGTTCACACCGGCCGTTCTATTGTCTAAAGAACTAAGAAGTACTTAGAATTTCATTGTGTTTGTGTTGCTTAGTTCTGAACAAATATTATGTACGGTACTATATTATATCTAAAAAAGGTAAATCATTCGTTTCAGTAGTGGTATTCATGTGTAGACTTGGTTAAATTTTTGGCTAAAGAGTCAAACAGACCCTCAAACTAACTTAAAAGGTGCCCGACCGTCACCATTTAAGATAAGAATTCAACCGGAAAGATAGTCATTTAGTCAAATGATTTTTTGAAATGTACTGCGTTGTTTAACTATGTAGTTATCTTTAAAAATTCATTTAACTATGTTCTCGGTTGAATTTTTAGATTAAATTTGATATGGGTAAATCAAACTTAATGAAGAAGATGCTCAAAATATTTCATCAAAAAATTACACTAGGAACCGCCCCAAATGGTGACGGCCAGAAAGAGTCTCCAATATAAGGGATGATTTCCACTTTTTAAGTTAGTTCGAGGGCCTATTTCACCTTTTAGCCTAAATTTTACAAACATGTTTATATTCTAACCCTCTTTTGTAGACTACTATTAATGGTGTATACAAAAAAGAATTACAGAGTATATTCTTTGTCTCAGTATTATAGATCAGAATGGTTTAAGAACAGCAGGAATTTCTATAACCTTACTGTTCTAAGTACTCTACAGTCTACATATAAATGTGATACAATTGTATTATTATATTGAGCATCTTATTCATCAAGTCTAGTTTACTCGTACCGAATTTCAGCTAAAAATTTAATCGGGAGCGCATTCAAATTAATTCGAGAACGCAAACATGCGCAGTTATCTTCAAGAATTAATTTGAATGTGTTCCTGATTGAATTTTTAGCTGAAATTTGGTGTGAGTAAACTAGACTTGTTGAATAAGATGCCAAAAATATTTCATCAAAAAATTCCACCGGAAACTGCCCCAAATTGCGACGGCCGGACACAACCTCCTATAGAAGGACTTAATTGACCTTTTTATGAAAGTTTGAGGACCTATTTGACAGTTTTCCCTTGTTGTTTTAAGAACGACTCCATGTTACCATGGATAAATTTGATACAACTGTGTTATATTTTGATGTGTAGACTTGATTTAAACTTTACCAAACATGCTTGAGTTTTAATGCTCTTTGTGGGCTACTATTAAAAGTGTATACCAAATGGATATTGTATTTCTTTGTCTCAGTATTATCGATCGGAATTGTTAAATAAGGGCAGGAGTTTTTAGAAGATTATTGTTCTAAGTAAGCATGGAGACGGTCCGGCCCGGTCGGTCCTGTTTCTAAATAATTGAAGCCCTGTCCCGACCCAATTTGGTCTGGTACCGGTTTCGGTCCGGGTCCGAACAGTATCGGACACAAGTAATTCAGATCTATACACCTTTTTAGATTCGAATCTATACATCTCGATCATAAAAGAATCAATAGATAAAGTAATGAATCACAAGGAATCAATAGATTTCTAAAATTTGAGCCATAATATATCGACACGTGATAAAGAAGCGTTTCATATTATATTATTTGAGTTTTATACAGATACATTTAATCATTTGCTCATGTATGTAACAACCACGGACGGTTTCAGGGGGGGGCAACAACAGAGAACGCCCTAGGCCCGGAAAAAAATAGAAGAAAAAACAGGACAAAAATTTTATTTTATATAGCGTGAGCGGGCTTTTTCTTATTGTTACGTTCAATTAATTAGACCTAATGTTTAATTTTGTTGACAATTTGAAAATTTAAAACATCAATAACAAATCTTAAATGAAGCCAAGTTTTAAAAAGAATATACTTCGTATACATTAACTTTAAGTAGGTCGGTTGTAGTTTTTTAAAAGCAATATAATTGTTGTTGGATTAATAAAAGGCATGCCTTTTCAGTCTTCACATCTCTTTAGTCTTCAAACCTTGTATTCATTTTAATTATAACATAACAAATATATATAATTATTTTAGAGCATGTTGCTCTCAAATCTCATCTCAATTTTTTATTTGTTTTCAAATTTCAATGAACTATATCTGAATTCCTCATAGTAGTTTAGAGGACATCAAATTGGCAGTCTTCTTGCACGAGTCCTCTTGTCGGCCAACATTTTGTCTCCTTAGCGGTTTCGAGGATTCAAACTTTAGAATCTCCTCAACGGTCAATAAATCATTCTCAACTAATGAATTCAATATGTAGTAATATTTCGTATTTGTTTTCATTCATCCTTTCAGTTGTAACTGAAATAAAGTTTAGTGTTGTTATGTGACAATTTTATCGTTTGTCATGTTTATTAGTGGAAAAGGAAACATTTTGACAAAAGTTTATTGTTTGTCATGACAAATTTTAGACATGAAATTGACAATAATAATTGTCAAATGGAAAAGGAAATGATTTGATTTTTTTTACTCTTCATTAAAATTACTTCCTCCGTCCCAAATTGATTTGCAAATTTGACTTTTCTCGGTCAAATTGTTTCATTTTATTTGCTTAATGAAGATATCAATTTTTAATTATATTCTAATTTGGAGTTTACAACTTTGAAGAGATTTCAATGTAGTTTCTGAATATGTAAATTTTAATTATTAAAAATTCAACTAATTATTGATAGAGAGGATTGACTTTTATTCTTGTTTGACTTTTATTAAAAAATGTTGACTTTGTAAAACAAATTGGGACGAAGGGAGTACAATTTAGCCACGTATGTATATACATGCAGACCCATAGGCCATGGCTTCTCGAAGGAAAGAATAACTACACTTGTACGTTTAAGCTATGATGATTAACGCCCTTGGTGTATAGGTGGAACCGTGGAATGAATCAAAATTGAAGTCCAAATTTCTATGCTATCCATATTTCAATTTTAGAGTTAATTGCTACTCCATCCCCCTATTATTGGGACAAAAAAGACTCGTGCATGTAGTTGATAACCAATTAATAAAATGAGAATAAAATAAGAATAAGTTAGAGACACAAAAATATTATCAAATACTCTACATGATAATAGACAAATTTAATAAGGCAGACAAAAAAAATGAAACACTGATACTGGGACGAAGGAAATTCATCCTAAAATCCAGTTTTAGAGTGCAATCTAGAACGGGTGCTTTCGAGCAAAATACAAGTAAAAAAAACTAGACTGAAAACATAGAGCCATAGTACATGAGTCATTTTGTGTAGTTTGGACTACTTGGACTGGGTCTAATTCAAAATCATTCTTAACATTTGTAAATGAAGGCAGCTGAAATAGAAAGCACAATGAAGCCTGAATTAATTAAAACCCATCTTAAATGATGCCAAAATAATTGGCATACACATCATTAACATGCCCATCAGTTGACTGATCGTGTACTAAATCATCAACCAAATTGGCAGAAGAAAATACCCCTAAATCATCATTGCCAGCATCTTCATCATAAAAACTGCAGGTAACCCAGCTATCAAAATCTTCGACGAACACATTCCCAGGGGTGGTGTCACAGTAATCATCAAATTCCAGATCAAAGTCATCCCAAAACATAGCCATTATAAAGTGTAATTACTTTGCGAAAACTTATACTCGGTATCAGATAAATGGCCTTACACAAGTACAAGTGCAGGAAGCTTGCGGCATGGGATGGGTTTTTATCATAAAAACTTGGAAGAGCAAGGGACAGAAAGTCATTAATTTCCCAAGCAAAAAAGAAAGTCATTAGTTATATTATACTTAATTGGTGGCAGTAACAATGTCTCCATTTCCCAAGCAATGCGGATTTCCTATGATATGCAATTTTCATGGGAGGGGGCGGAGCCACAGTTGTACTGTCATGGGGGAAATGCTCCATATCCAAAAATAACACCTAATGTTTAATTTAAAATAATATCATATCCAGTTGCGGAGCCAGAGATTTTTCAAAGGGGGCGTACAGAAGGCTAAGATTTATGGTGTATTTTCTCAAAATATAATAAAAACAATAAAAATGTATTACATTGGCACAAATTAGTCATTACATTCTACTTGACTCGTATCTATAATCTGGGTAAATCAATCATACGAGTTTTAATATGTTCAAAGTTTGCTTAGGAAAACGAGCTCATAGGACTCTTGTACACTCATCTACGCACTCAAAACTCAAAAGGTTCTCATAGAAATGGGTAGTCTTACCCCTATCTATATTAATCGCATCAAAGCTTCTTTAAAAAATTTTATACACCATTACACATCTACATTCTTCCAATAAGTATCCACAAGCTTCTCTAATCTAATGGAAGGATCTATAGAACTTCACAATTCTTCAAAATGTTTTAGAGGCTTCCACACTCTTTCGCACGGTTTTAGTGAGTTCCACACTTTTATAGAAAACTTACCAATATTATTCTAGAACTGTTGGGTTAAGGGCCCAAGCCGAGGCACGGCCCATTAACCCCTCCATACCAGACGCACATCCAGTTAGAACACAAGGCTAGCACGCAGGCCCATGTTCCTTGAGGAGGGACGAACGTCTGGGGTTGGGGGTTCAGGCCCAACGGCTCATCTCGACGAACGTCTATGCAGAGACAAGGAGCAGGACCACGGGCCACCAGGGATGACGACGAACGTCTCCAAAGCAAGCCTATAGTCATCGGAGGAAACCCAGTCCACATGGTGAATATCTATTAAGGCCAGGAGACGAACAGCGGGTATTTCTTGAGGGTCACTTGGAGCGATTCAACTCACTTCCCGGGTGGACGAACGTCCCCACTGATTAGGCGGGAAACCTAGATTCTGGCGGGAAGTGCATTTAATGCTGAAGATTTGGTAGTTGGGGCACCAGCGGTCCACAGGCTGCCACGTCAGTATAGCCACCTGCCCATTGGTGGGTATAAATAGAAGCATTTATTTCATTGTAAAGGGTTGGCAACTTTCTATTCTCAGCATTCTAGCTTATTCCTCTTACTCGCAGCTTAGATTACTGCCTAGTGAGACGAACGGCCGACGTGCCTTTTTAGCAAGTAGATTGTACTTAGGGGAGTTATTACGAAGTTAATAATACCTATTTACATTGCTTACTATTTCCTCTGTTTCCTGATCCATCTGATAGTTGTTGGGCTAGATATTCACGCATTCATACACCCTCTTCCATTCGAGATCTTTTGGGCTTACGT